TGTAGAAGAAGTTCAAGAACAACCAAAGGCATTAAACCTCTTTGGTTCAAGGAGGTGTAATGGATTGGTAAATAGGATTGTACCTATTTGCATATGTTAAGTAGAAAATATATAAGGTTAGCAAAGTAAGAGAGACAGACATGAATCAAAAACAAATTCATGTCTTCACATTTATAATGCACCAAATTATGCAGCACCTGTTTCGATTAAATTTGTTACTTAAAATAATTACTTTGCTACTTATGTAAATGTAAAAAGTCTTAGTTGGCAATAATAGAAGTGACAGATGGTTATAAAAAGCATTCTCAATTATTTATGGCTAATTTATTTAAATAATGCGCTGATTATTGTTTGCATTAAATGGCAATAATTGTACATAAAATGATGCATTAAAATAAGTAACCAAATAATTGTTTTAAGTTCTTTGAATATTAGTACCCATACATAAAATGAAGTAATTAAAACAAGAAATAACATGGCCTGTGATCCTAGATTGCAAGTCTACATTTGGACTGTAAATTTAAGTACAACATGTATAAAAATGAAAGAGTTAAGCAATACAAAAACAACTATATCTATGCCTCATAGATCAAAGTAAAATGCTGAGAATACTACAGACTGGACATTTGAGCAACAAGATAATCTTAAAGAAAATGTAAATTAAAATAACATACTTAAAATTGAAATGAATCTATGACATTTTGTCATTGTATCATTTATCATTCACAAAAATTTAGAATAGTATTAAGGCTTAAGGAGAAAATTATTTGCTCTTTGGTTATCAAGCATGTAACTAGAATGTTTTGACTTGTGACCTGATTTTTAGTTTTTGTTTGACAAAACTCTTCCATCAAAAATCAAATACAATAAATTCTATATTCAATTGACCTTATTTATAAATCTGATTCTTAAAGTATAAAAAAAAAATTAATGTTACTTTGTATATTATGAATACATTTTATTCTTAGTTGACATAAGAGACCTGCCGGTCTTTGTAAAGCATAGACAATGAGTAAGAAAAGGAATTTGAATATTAAAAGTAGAAAATATCTTTGAGAATCAAATTTAGAATGCATTTCAATGATTTCAAGCACCTACCTTTTTTGCCAAGTAATATAAATAATTTTTGTAATAAATAGATAAACATTTGATATGAGTTTTTCACATGTTTTACTCTTATTATAACCAATATTATTTAATTAACCAAATGTACTTTAAGGTGCAAAATTAGACCAAATAATTGAGTTATTAAATAACAAGAAATAATTTATTTTTAATTTTAACTTTTATGCTGAATTATGAGTAGACAGAATTTTATCTGTGAAAGAAAACTAATGTCCATTATTTACATTATTCGGACTGTTGTCCTCATCTTTGTCGCCACATTTATCACAACGTTTCGGCTGTTGTACTCTCCGGCCTTCTTCAGGTGATTGGAATTTCGAACTGAACCCTTTATTTCGCTCACTGGGGTAGACTGTTCTAGTTCCACGTGCCATGTTTGATGGATGTCAGTTATCAGTTATCTCCTGCTATTTTTCCCTCTGAAAGTTCTCCACTGCCTTAGGGATGGTTTCTGATTGGTTGGTTAAAATTTGACTTTGTGGTCTAGCAAGTCTGAATATACATCTATTTTTAGTCATGGTGAAATTTTGGTTTCCTTGTTATTATTTATTTTTCTATCACTCTGGTGTCTATTCATCAGGGAAACTGAAAATAATATCAATTCAAGCCCCATAGGACCATCTCCTCAGACAGTACCTCTCTTTCAGGAGGGGGCTGGGGTCATTACCCAATGCCTGAGGTGTTCCCAAAAGGAGAAAACCTGCAAAGGGCTGACAAACCATAGAAAAAAAATCAATCAAAAGAAGTGCTAAGAGGCTTGAACAATTTTTGTATGGCTTTCTGGAAATCCAACATTAAACTCTGACCTTGTATCACATTCTGTTGTGATGAGGGTGTGCAGATAAATACCTACAAAAATATCACTCTAAGATTAGTCTGCTCAGTAGGCACAATGGTAGTAAGTTGCTCTTCAGTGAGTGCAATGTAAAACTAACATTTTCTACTGACATGAAGTGGGAAGATTATATTGAATCAATTCCTAGGTCTGCTGTTAGGAAAGTGAGTCCACTGTGTCATGCTAGACAATTTTTCTCACTAGGATCTATCTTACACATTCATCCTTGCTTTCACTATTGCTTCCATATCTGGTCTGGTGTGCCTGCTATATTCTTGATAAAATCCAAAGAAGAATCTGTAATGTCATTCATCCTAACCTGGCATCTCAGCTTTAGTCACTTTCCTATAGTGACATAGTTTCCCTGTGATTTTTCTATAAATACTTTCATGGTAATTGTTCTGATGAAATGTCCTCTAGGGCATTTAGACTTTATGAATTTAAGTGTGGTTCTAGATTGGCTGCAAGGTCTCATCATTTTACAGTTGAAATGACTAGATATAACCATAAGTTCTATGCTAATAGTTTTTTCTATCACACTTCTTGCTTGTGGAACTCTCTTCTTGCTTCCCAATCAACTTTGATCTTCAAAAATTTAAATGCAATATCAATTATTATCTTCCGTCTTCTTAACTCCTGTTCTTTTATTGTTCTCCCTTCTTAATAGTGATTTTTTCTCATATTCTGTAACACTTAGTAACCCCTTGTGGCTTTATTGCTTTGCTTGGAGTGAAATGATTTGCAAAAATGACTAGCTTTGAATAACAATCATTGGAGCCACAGTCATCTAAGTTAATACATTTGTGAACTTTTAAAATTTGTTATTTATCATAGATAATATCATAGTATTAATTTTTTAAAAAGATTTTATTTTAATTTTGTGCATTACTAGGTGAATATTTCTTATCCAGTTTTTAGTAAATAATGTTCAAATTGACTGCCTGTGACTTTTCAAGTGCATATGCCATGTATGTGTATGTTTGTATTGTGCGTGAGTACTTTATATGTTTGTGTTATTTAATATACACACAAACATGTGTACACATACACCTACAATTTGACCGAATTTGAAATAAGACTTTAAAATACATTTTCCTCCTACTCAGTCCTGACCATGGACTTATAGGATACAAATCCTATATTCCAACAAATGACTAAAAAAACACAAAGTAGATTTGCACACCCGCAAAATCGGATCAAAACAACCAAAAACAGATTTCACAATAAGGTGTGAAATTAATTTTCTGACCAATGAAAGGAGGCGATTTGCTAAACCAAAAAAAACATAATGAGCCAGTGTGAAAAAAAGTCAACAATAAATACAGAGTTTTCAAGTCAGTCGCCAGTCAGTCAGTCAGAGAAAGGTGCAAAGATCACAGAAGATTGACAGTAAATTCCATTGCTGACTCAACCCGAAAGTGGATTAGGAAAGAACAACAACAACAACAAATTTACAACTGACTCCAAAACAATTCATAAGTCCTTTTATCTTTATTCCTCATTCACACTCTCTTTTTCAACTTAAATTGCTCGCCCCTTTTTCATTTTACAACTATACAAAACAAAAGAAACAGACATTATTCTGCTACTCTGTTAAAAGACAACGAACACAGACATTTTTATCAAAATCACATTTTTGCTTAAACGAACTAAAACATTAATCTTTTTTACCCTATTCACAAGATAATAAATATACAATGTTCTATTTTTTATAAATGTTCCTTATCGTGTTGTTTCTTCTTGAAATTTGCGTTGTATTTTGTGGGCAGGGTATCCCGTATTAAATTCTCCTTTAATCCGGGTACGCTGAACCCCACAGACTGAGCAATAAACTCATAAGTGTTGAAGACAAAAAATAAAAACTAAAACATTAATTTTCTAAAACATAAAAAATCAGATAATTATAAGACCTTATTGAACCTTTCAGAAATTATTTGATCATAAAATCATTTTTAAAACTTTTCTTTAATTGTAAGAATATTTTTAGATGTTATTGAATTACAATATAAATTTTAAATGCACACACAAAACCGAACATACACACAATTATTTTTAATTAAATTGAATTTGGCAACTATCTTGTGCAGGTTAATTTCCCTTTTTCTCTAGTAACCATCCATAGGTAACATAAAAAGAGCATAAGCTAGTCTTTGAAATCATTTTTATTTTTTATTCTGTATTGTAAACTGTTTAATTAATAAATGTTTAAAAAAAAACTCTAAATTAGCAGACAATTTAGCTTTGAAATTTGATCATCTTGACGCGACCGACACCGCACTGGTAAAAATAATAAAACTTACTTCTCTCATTAAAATAAATATTATTAGAATTGTTTAGAAATAAATAAATAACAAAGCAGTCAATTGGAAACAGACTTGTTGGTCCCACATATACACTCGTCACTAGTACACACAACAAATTGCTGTCTGAGGTTCAAGATTTGAAATTTCAGCTTTGCATGAGTGATAGATTAAATTTTGTTTTTAAAATTATTTCTAAAGATTTTTTTTTTTTACTTGAAAAAAAAAGGTTTGAACCGAACAAATTAGTTGTTAAAAATAAAATGTAAATTTCTCAGTTTTTAGGACTAAAAAAATTCAATATCAACAAAAATTATTACCACAATCTCTCTTATGCGCTCAAATGCTACACAACTACATGAGATAATATTTTGAAAAGTGGCCACTGTCTGGGCGTATAAAGAACACAACCCATTTTATCCTCTTTTAAATATCGATCTTTTCAAAAAAAAAAAAAACAAACAAAAACGAACTGATCAATTCAAGTTTAGTAAACGGAAGCTATTTTTCTTTTGATCATCTAATCCTTCATTCGTTCGTTCCATAAACCATCTTTATAAAAACAAGTATAAAATAAGCGACGGATTCAGTTATAAGCAAGAATAGTAAACGAAAAAAGATAAAAAACGAACACGACAGAATAGAATGAAACGTCACTTCCGGCGGTAGTGTGTCTAGCGTGCCAGAGACGTCATCACTACCAAGAAGAGCATACACGTATCGCCAATTGCTCGAGCAATATGTTGGACTTTTTCAGCATTTTCAGCAAGGGAGGCATTGTTCTCTGGTGTTTTCAGGGAACAACTCAGTTGTTTACCCCGTCTGTTAACGCCCTTATCAAGAGTGTTATCCTACAAGTAAGTAAAATATAGTTTATTTTGTGCGAGTGCTGTTTTAAAATGCACTAACCATGTGGTCACAAAGTCAGTGGCCAGGTTTGTTTGAAACAAAAAAAAAAAATAGACCGAACACATGCGAATGATGTGGCATATTTCTATCCAGACACACATCTGATGCTCCTTTTTTTGTTTGGGCCGAGATAATGAATAAAAAAAAACAGTTTGTCCGTGATAAGTATACATACTATTTTTTTTTTTTTAAGTAAAATAGTTTAACTTATTTTTTGACTGAAGAGAATTATTTTACCATAAGGTGAATGGCTAAAAAGTAAAACTAAATAAAAAGAATTTCTATAACTAAAAATATGATGCTTGCTTTAAGAAGAGGGTTTCCTTCATCCATCTTAATTCTGTGCTGAACAAATATCCTGTAAAATTATTAAAACCTGTTCCGTGATTTCACTTTACGTTAGAACTGAGAACAGATTTTTTTTTTTTTTTTTTATAAAGAAAGCATTTTCAAAATTTCACTCTTATAGAGCTTAAAATCGATTTAAAGTCCTGAAAGTCCTGATTTTTTTTTTCATATTAAAAATAAACTCTTAAATTAAATACATCGGATATGATCGTTTTTCTCGAAAGAAAATTTGTTTAAAAAAAATGGCTTACTAGTTTATTTTTCTATTCAGAGTAAGTCATGAGAATTAAAAATGGGGAAATCTTCCCTAGGTTAAAAACAAAATTAAAGAATAAATGACCTGTTTTTTAAAAAATAATTTCACTTCATTGTGCGCGCACACACGCACAAAAAGGAGAAAACGTATAATTTAAATGTGCCTGCGTAATTGAATTAGTCTACTACTCTAGATTTTAAATCATCAGCAGATTTTATCGTCACATGTTGAAAAGAAAAACGAGATGAAAGAATTCTTGACACCTGGTAAGGAAAATATGAAAAGTACCGTTTTAAATATGTTGTTGCTCTTTAAATGGCTGGAACAAGTGGTTGATTTTCTAAAGCAGAAGAAAACGCACATCCAATTTGAACTAACTTTACTAAATAGATAAAAAATTTCATTACTGATTATTTGTATTTAAAAAATCTACCTAGTCTGCCATCTGTCTGACTATATAAAATTGTGATAAATCGTTTTAGATAAAATATTTTTTTTAGGAGTTCGATTTGTTTACTTTAGGCCAGGGATTACCTGTGAACTTTTTTAGTCCTGTCTCCCCAACCCCGCCATAATTTAAAAGTAGTATACAAATTCTTTGTGTCATATTGTGAGAAAGAGCCAATGGAGCTTTAGTAATTTTATTTTTAAGATTTGCTTTTATTTAACAGCCGTAATGATTTTTTTTTTTTTACAATGATTGTAAAATGAATAAAATCTTTTTAACAGTTAATGTAACGAGGAAATAAAATATTCAATCAATAATAACAAATTGCCAGAAGAATTAACATGAGATTAATAATAAATGAGTTTAAATTGCCAGTGAAATATTTTCCGTAACATTACGTTAAACTAATTACTAAAGTGTACTTTAAAAAATTAAATTGAAAACAATTAAAAAATTTCTATAAGGTTTATTTTATTATCGCCCTTACAATTATGTCTCCAATTATCTATAATTTTGACGTCTTTAGTTTTACTTTTAACTGGATAAAGATAATGGGAGAACCTGCTGATGCTTTGTGAAAGATGAAGACAAAATATCTCTTCTTACTATTAGTTTGATCAATCAGAAATCTTGTACATTTGGCCTGTTTTGCAAAAAGGAAGTTACAGTCTAATGACATAAAAATAATACACAGTCAAGTGATTTTCACACTAACCATTAGTTTCAGTTTTGATTTCAAGATCAGGATAGTATTTCATTTGTAACAAAAAATGTTTTAAAAACAATTAGATAGTAGGACAAGCATGAACAAGAAAAGTTGCTTTTAATCTCTAGAACTAGGGAAACTAATTGAATAAAATACGGGTTTATTTCCATAATTATTAGATTCATTCTTGGTTTACATTTTGAACTTGTTCCCTAAAATGGAATTCATGTGCAATATTTAATGTTGCAATGACAATAAAATCTTAAGGCTTTAAGTAAATTCTTAAAAAAAAAAAATTATTTAATATTAATAATCTTTTGGGGATTTTCAAGATGATAAAGAAAGAATATAAACAAATTTTTATAAAATCCTGGGAAAATTTTTAAAGCAGTAAGGTTTGAATTTCAGGAAAATTATTTTTACAAAGAGTTTTTTGGTACTTGTTTCTTTTTTTGTGTTGAATAAAGAAATGTAAAACTAGGTACAATTTTGAGGCTAAGAATTATTTTAGTTTTAGTTGAATGATGTGTTGTTTCTCCATGAATTCTTATTGAGAAATGCCAGAGAGTGCCCTCAACAAAATTAAGATATTTATTCAAACAATTTATGGAAGTTATTAATTTAAGAATATATTTGATATTTTCTTTTCTATTGCTTCAAAATAATTGTTTGTGTTTTCTAATTTTAGAGTGGCAAGTTTGAAAATAATTTTAAAGATCTTTTAAAAAGAATGTATCTGAATTAATGAAACCCTTGAATATTATGTCTGGTGGTACAGAATTTCAAATAGAAAAGGCAAATAAAATTTCCGGGTTAAAAAATGAAAGCCATATCACTTGGTACAAAAATAGGTACCTCCATGAGATCGCTAAAAAAAAGAGCATAGCATGATGAAAAAGACGCCAAACTTGACAAAAACAAAATTTCATCATCTAAATGTTTATTATTAAGAGGAAAGATCAAAGTATTTTGGGGGTATTTTACTTTTTTAATTGTTCCTAGCACGTCCAAAATTTTCGTTAAAGATCTTGTTTTTTTTAGTCAGCAAAATTCACAGATAACCAATCATAACAACCATTTTTTTCCATTTTATAAAAAAAATGAAAATTTCAGTTTGAAATTCTTTTAAAAATCTATCATTTTGTTCAAAACTTATTTTAAGAAAATCAGAAATTATAATGTTTATTTAAAATATTTTGAACCAAGCTTAACTTAGCTTCTGTGTGGAAAAGATGTAATTTGAAAATAAAACAATGCAGCTCATAAACTTTCGCATCACTTGACAGGTGATGAATGACATATTGACAGATTATGTGAGGATAATTCCTTCTACAGAAGGAGAGAAGTGAAGTTATTTACATTTAAGCGAACAAATTATTTACCTCGTTATTTTTAAGGAAAACTTTTAGCACTCTAATTATTTTTATTTTTTTTTTTTTTTTTGTACTTAGTTTTCACCTTTACATTTACAATGCTTTATGGAAAATATAAAGAAATTAAAATAAGACTGTTAAGAGTGAGATTAAATTTCATAAGAAAGGTATCTAATTAATTTATAGGTACCTTTCTTATGAAATTTTATCAGAAGTGTATATAAAATACTATAATTTTATGTACATTTACTCCATTTTACTGTGTTATTTGTATTTCCATTCATTTTATTATTAATTTTGATATTTCATTTATGGAAAAATGTCATAACAGAGATTAATATAAGAATAAGATCATATAAATTTCATAAGATGATACTGATGCTTGTAGGTAACCTTCTCGGTTGAAATTGAATAATCAAATTAACTTCACACGTTTCACAAAAGTAAAGGCCTTAACAGCGGAGAACAATGCTTAACTCAAATAACACAACTTAATAGTATTCTGGTTGTTCTTCCATACGTTATAATTACAGCCCGATTATAAACACAGTTACATTTCTTAATTACTGCAGGTCTTCTGATTAGTCATAATACAATTTACAACGTGCTAAAAAACAATCTATCTTATAAGGACACTTGCAAAAACGGATGCGGCTTTTAACTAATTTTATAATATTTTAACAACTTAAGTGTAAAAATCTATTATAATTAAAGAAATAACAAATAATTGTATTAAAAATTCAATTTTCATCAAAAAAATATTTTGCTTTCAGAAAATATTGTCCATATTCATAAAAGCAAATGAAAGCATTTGAAATTAAATAATATCTTTGTTTTATTGAGTTTTGTATGTTACAATTCAGAGCTGATTTTCAGGTAGGTGGTCCCCCCAAAAAAACATGATTTGCAGTCCTCAAAGCCTTGTACTTTTAAGTATTGTAATCACTAAAGTGGATTCGATTGAATTTTTAGAGTTTTCATAAAACTAGTTATGGTGGGGGTAATAAATATAAAAAAAAAATTTCTACCATAACATTAATAAAAAGCAAAAAAAAACAAAAAAAAAACATTTATAATAATTTCGATCATCTGTGAATAGTTTCTGAAAGTTTAATTAACATCAGACAATTATTTGTGCAAGATTTTCCAAATTAATGTGTGTCATACAAAAAAAAAATGTGCTAAAAATTGTATGTTATTTTACTAGTTTCGATGATACAAAGAGAAACAAGGTTTTTTTAATCAAAATTTAGAATGTTCTAAAAAGAAGGAAAAATTTTTGAAGATAATTAAAAGAAACTTTGGTCTTTCCTCTTCATAATAACAAACATTTAGACGATAAAATTTTGTTTTCAAGTTTAGCATCTTTTTCATCATGCTATGCTCTTTTTTTAGCCATCTCATGGAGGTACCTATAAAAATATATTGTGAGTATATTTTCTAAATATGAAAAAAATCTTTTAGAAAACTAAGCTAACAATTTTTATTTTTTACCAGTTTCCCTTTCAGTCTCAAAAATCCACAAATGAGCATTTTAATTTCTGAAATATAGAAAATGCTAAAATATACAATTTGTTGTGATATGCATCTTAAATGTTAATTAACTGCCTTCCTCTCTACATGAATTTTAACGGGAGCAACATTAGTTTCTAATACTAAGCATGCTTGTGTGTGTATAACGAACTAACTAAAGTTGCTATCAATCTAATTAGTATTTAATCCAAAATCTGTTATTTTTGCTGACTGGCTATGTCTTGCAAATAATTACATAGTTGCTCTTTTGAAGAAGGAAGTAGGTGTTAAAATTTGTGTTCAAATATAAATACTGTTAGTGTTAGAATAATTTTAAAAGTTTTGGTAGAGAAATTAATATCTGATCTATTGCTGTAACTTAGCTTTAATGCTAACTAATTTTATTTAATTTAGAAAGGTACTATTTTGAAGTTTCTACAAACCACATCTGATATTATCTTGTGAAATTGTTTTTCATTATGCTGTTATGATTGGTAAATACAAAGTTTTTGTTTTTGTAATGATCTAACTGCATCTAACTTTAAAAAAAATCAATCATTGAAGAATGTGACCAATAATGTCATGGGACTGGATCTAACCTTTGCATTTCCTTACTTGAATAACCTTCTTGATGAATAGTTATAATTATTTTTTTCTAGTTTTACTTTAAAAAAATGGGAAGTGGTTAATCATAAAAAAAATGATAAAAAGGTATCTTTAAAAATGTGCTAAGAAAATATATATACTGTTTAAAAAGTCTTTTTGTTTTAAGATAATGATTAAACAGTTGAAAAACAGCCATTGCAATTTTAGAGTTAGTGTGCATACAAGACAAAGCACCCTAATTTAAGTGCTACATGGAATAACATGACAGAAAGTAGGAATCTTAAAAATGGAGAATTAGCATAACAATAAGCTTGAATTCTCACAGGATAGTGTGGTTTGTAATTTATGAAGGAAGTGTGTACTGGTGATTGTCACACAGCCTCTGTATATTTACTGAATGGTTTATCTGATGACTTGGATGAATTTAAGAGCTTCTTTAAGTTTTATTTTTATTAAATAAATCACAAGTTTGCAGTTTTCTGAATCTCAATTTTTTTTATTAATGTAATTAGAATATATATTTTTAAAAAGCCAAATAACTTCTCAAATCATAAGTAAAAGTCTACTCAAAATTTGATAAGTGTTGTGCATACAGATAATGAGTAGAACACTTCCTCTTCAGTAGCAGTTCATGTTTCCTATCCACTGTTTCATTATAAATCAGTAGGAATAATAGAGGCTTCTTTTGATGTTTTATTTAGTCTAATTATTTTAGAGTAAAATAATTCAGGACTTTCTATTGTCATTAAACCAAAGTTTGCTGAGTTGGGACTGTAAAGTTTTTGATAGAAAACTGCTTGCTTTTATAAAGATTTAAAAAAATTCACTAACAATATATATTTTGTACATTTTTTTTTTCCTTATCAAATGGGAGAGAATTTTTTGTATGCTTATCAATTGTATGCCATTTACAGATTCCTATGACTTGCATTAAATATTTTATTGTTCTCTAGTTGGATATCATACTGTTTGTCAAAACATCTAAATGCTAACATTTTCAAACATGTATATATGTATGTATATTCTGTGTATTTAGGCAACAAGTGTTCTTTAAGACAAATATTAAAAATTAGACACTTTGTGTCAAATAATTTTGCTTATAGACTTTTTCAAATTACAAATAGTTCTCAAACAAGGAGGAAATTTTGTTTGAAGTTCATTTCATTAAAAAAAAAAAAAAGTACAAGAAATATGGTCCAAGCTTTTGGGTAGGTACAATTGCTGAGTTTTGTAGAACTAGTGAGTGTTGTGATGTAAGCAGGGTGTGTTGTCTTTTTTTTTTTTTTTCTTTTTTAATGTATACATTTGAGGATGCTGGCTCTTAAGTTATTATTCTGTTTATCTATTGATGATTGTTTTTGTTGTATGAGTATTGCTTCAAGGATCATGTCTGTTTACTATTTGATTTTACTAGTATTACTATTAATCAGCACAAAATTTTTTTTTTTTTTTTACAATAATATTTGCCATATATATGTATTTTTATATACTTCCCAGACAAAGTAGTTTATTAGCAATACTTGCAGTTTAAATGGAAAATTTTACAAAAAGATTGTTGTATAAAGCACTAATTCATCATTGTATAAGTAGAAACATATTTGTATATATGTTTTTCTTTTATGAATTTAAAAAAAAAAGAGAGCTAATTTATAGAAAATTACAATTCATTACTCTATTGCATGTACATTTGTATTTTGCTAGTCCTTTGAAACTAGACAGCTATAAATAGAGAGAATTATAATTACCTATAATCTCCTTATTTTGTTGCATATATCTTAAATAAAAAAAAAAGTTAAACATGTTGCTTGTATAACAGTATTTATCATTTGTATTTAAATTACTTTGTCATCTTTGTAAGCATAAAAAAAATGTCCCCCCTCCCTAAATTATTAGTACAACCATATGCTTCTTTTTTTTTCTTCTTCCTAATCAGGAAAATCTTTTACTTGCTATCCTCCATGCAGATTACATCATCTAATGTAAATCTTGCTGAGCTATCATGTTACTTGTTAAATAGTTAAAGGATTAATATATAACTATTTAATTATTTCTTCCTTTTTTGCTCTCAGGAAAGAACTGGCAATAGTTCTTATACACATGAAGCATTAACACTACAGTATCGTTTAGACAATGAACATGAGCTGGTGTTTGTGGTAAGTAATCCTACTTAAAAAAAAATCTTGTTACAATCATGTTAAATTTGGAAGAAAAAAAAATTTTTTTTTAAATTGTTTCCAGATTTGTTGCTATTGGTTTATTATGAGCAGCTTAAATATTTTCAGATCATTGATATTTTGTTACTTTTCCTATTAGTTTGTATGCAGCTCAGATTTTTTTTCAATTTAAGAGAAAGAACAGTTTTATTTAAGTCTTTCAAGAAAAACAATTTCAAAAAGTTTGTTATTGTGTTTAGATTTAAATGCTTTGCTACAAAACATGGTAGAAACCAACTTTATTATTTGGAAAGACAATTTTGCAAAGATTAGTAATAAATATAACTACATAATCAAAACTGGACCAGTGGATCATTTTAGCTAGCGAATGTACCTGGTTGTTTTTAATATATTCATGCTAACCTGCATATAAAGATTTGGTGTACTTGGCTGTAGAGTAATTGTTAGGTAACTAGTCGAGTCTGCTATTACTGTTACTTTGAAAACTACAAGTTTGTTCCTTGCTGTGTCGAATTGCTAGGTTCAAATGCCTATAATTCCTGAAGAGGTTCTGTTTTCACAGTCTTTCTATTGGTATTTTTACTTTTGAAATGTTTAAAAGGAAAGTAGCAAAGATGTTTGATAAATTTGTCAGATTCTATTGAATGTAAAAAGCCCCAAATCATTCAAATGGTTTGTTTTAAAGGCTCTGCTTCATATTCAGAAGTTGGATGTTACTCACTGACATAATAAAAATCAATGAAAGTTGAGTTTTAGTCACTACAAGCAATTTCAGGGTGTAATGTTATATTTTCAAGGAAACTTGTGACAAAAATGGAGATACTATTTATTTTTGCCGCAAGTTACTTTCAATTTTTATTTTGTTTCATTTAAATACAGAATTACATGTTATGGCTAAGTTAATGTAAATTTGTAAAAGAAGCTGTAATGCTCTGCATAATTTGCAAATAATGATAAAAAAACAAATTGCGTATTGAAATTTATACAGAAAATTGACTTTTTTAAAGATACATTATTCAGTAAAATGTTTTTTTTTTTTTTTTTCCTTTTTTTTTTTTATTTATTTTGAAGTAAATGTTTTGAAAGTCTGTAAAACTTCAAAGTCCATGAAGGAATAAATTTAACTTTAATACTTATGAGCATCCATTTGACTTAATTTGATTTGAATAATTCATATCAATGTAGGAAAAAAAAAAAGGAATATTGATCATATCAGATTTTGTGACTAGTTCATGCATATTATGAAAGAAATATTTTGATATGAAAATTCTGATCATATAAACCGTCTTTGTGCTGCTTTATGATAAGTTCTTCATTTGAACTATTTTCTCTTTCTTTTAACAGGTGGCGTATCAAAAAATATTACAGTTGACATATATAGATGAATTTCTGTTAGTTATACAAGATGAATTTCGAAACAAGTACAAAGATGATTTGCAGCGAGGGAATATATATCGAAATTTTGATTTCAGTGAATCTTTTAATCACTTACTTAAAGAAACGGAGAATAAAAGCATTCAACAGGCTCATAAGCCAAGGTAAGTCAACATTTTTTGTTTCATTTGTTTTCTTATTGCTTGTTCAAGAATTTATGTCCATGTGGTATCAATATGTATTTCCATGTGGGTGGAGAAGAAAAGAAATTCTACTTTGATGCTATAGTTGTTTTCTTATACTACTTTATGCCCAAAATATATATAAAAGATAAGATGACATTTCTAAGTCATGTTCTTCAATGTTTTGATGAAAGTTACTTAATCGCCAGTTAATTTCTAGTCATTATTATTATTAAAAACTGTAACCCTATTGTTTTTTCTTTTCAAAAATCCAAAATAAGTGAATAGATAAAATGCTTAATATATGGTTAACAGAAATGTGTAGTAAATACTGTTTATGCTACATTTGTCAGCATAGCAAATCATAAAATGTTTCTCTCGACAGAATATTAAAAAAAAAAAAAAAATGATTGGCAAAGCTGATTTATAAAAGAAAACTGAACCAATATTTTTGTCCTTCAGAAATTTAACTTAGGAAAAAAAAAAAAAGGTTAGATTAGCCGTCAAAGCTACAAATCTATTGGGTTACTATTTCTACATCTGTCTGGGAAAAGTAAATTATGACCCATATAAATAGCATTATATGTCACAAATGTCAATAGAAGGTTCATGTGGCCAAGCTCCAGTCCAACCTTTTTTTTTTTTTTTTTTTTTTAAAAAAAAAAAATCAACAAAAGGAAAAAATTTTTTTTTTTTTTTTTTTGTTTTAGCATTAATTCCTTAACTAGCTGGGTTTGAGCATGAGTTTATATATAAACACTGTTAGGCTCTCTTGCATTGTTTATACATATTTTGTCTAATTATTCCATATAATAGCCAAGCAAATTTTAAAAAAAATAATATTTATACCATTGTTAACATAAGTTTGTATTAAAAATTGTAAAATGTTCTCTTCATTCAAGTACATCATAGGCATACATGGATTTACTTACAACAATGCATTTTGTCATGATTTTCAATTTCCTAATCTAATATATAAAAAACAAGTTCAATCAATTTTATCAAAAAAGAAAAAACAAGTTAATGTTTTTATCCTTATTCTTTAAATTTTAACCAAGCTCTTATTTTTTCTGTTTTAAATTTTCAGAAAAATGAAGACTTATGAAGAGTCTCAAAAATCTAAAAAAACTGTAGCCTCCATGATAGAAAACAAAAAAGAAGATAAGAAGAAAAAAGAAGAAAAGTCCAATAAAGGTAAAGTTTTCACATTGCTATCTAATGTTCTGCATTGACCTCCAATACACACAAAAGTATTTTTCAAAATAACCTTTACAATTTTGATTATTTTCAGTTATTGATCTTTTCTTTTTTTTTTTTTTTTTTTTTTACATTAGGAATTATTATAGTTAATTTGTGGAATAGAACTAAAGTTAGCTGTAAAATGTTTAAATATTATTAAATTCGAATGGTAATACCTCTTTTACAAGTTGCTGAATACTGGCATCGTTGTGAAGTATTCATTTTTATTCAGTTAATTTGGGTTTCCTATAATATTTGAAACTTAACAAAATTTTAGTGCCTTTTGCATACAATTATATTATTTTGCATCCTTTTATTTATGTTATCACTTACCAAACCAGAATGTTTAAACTAATGTTAATATTATTCTCCTTTACCATTTATTCCAACAAAAAAGGAAATTTGTGTACTTTTTTCTTTGCAGCAGTCCGTCCTACTGACATTCAAGTCAAGGCTCCACCACCTGCAACACCACCTAAACCAAAAATGTCCCCCATCACCAATGCAAATGGAGAGCTAGATGAAGAGACAATACGCAGGAATATTGAACTGTTAAAATTAAATAAAAAGAAGAAATCAACTCCAAAACAAGATACCAGGTTTGATAAGTGTTTACCATTACTTATATATAAAGGTTAAATTTTATTGGCCTTAATGACACTAAGATTGAGATGCAAAACATTCTTTTAATGGAATATATTGTTTATAAAGCACTTACTACAATCAATATGTTTTCCTATTCAAACTAGCAACTTTGTCTTGGTTGCTAAATTTGCACTTCAGCTATTGCATCATCCAGTCTTCTGTAGATGTTTGTCTTTATACTTGATAAACTTCTTACAATTTTGAGATTTTGGTTTTCAATTTTTATATTTTATTAGGACAATCTATTAAAAGTAGTTATTTAAAAAAGATTACAGTAAATAATTTCAATCATTAATCTCCTTACCTATGTCACAGGTCAGTAAAGAAGAATAAAAAATATTTTGCTAAGAGTCCTTGGCTGTTCATCACAAAGCAATAATGAATGTTACTGTATGACTATGTGAGTGCCAACATATCGGCAAATAATATTCTTATTTGGTTACATCCAGACTAATATCCTCATCTTTATCACTTATTGGCAATCTTTAGGTGTCTGTTGATCTGGGTAACTTTCAGGGAACTTTGAACTGAGTCCTTTATTTAATCTACAGTGGTAGATTGTTCTCATTCTATCATCCATGTCTAAGGATATCTTGTCTATTAGTCTGAATGCAAAATCCAAGAAATTCAAACAGAAAATAATCTGTAAATTATAGTTTTCCCCAACTCCATTAATGTAATTTTTTTTTTTTTTTTTGTTGGATTTTAATATAGTTTAAATTACATTTCCCAGTTATTTAATTCTGTTGATGAGAACAATTAACTGACACAGATTATATAACCAATTTTGTAATAATAATACCCAGTTAAAATATTTTATGTTTAAAATCATTAAAGATTATAATATTTTTATAGAAGATAATGATTTCTTTAAATATTTCCTCTCAAAAATTCTATAGCAAAAGTCCTCAGGATAAAAAGAAGAAAGGAAAAGAAGCCCGCAAATGGGAAAATTCTGGTACTGCTAAAGACATGGAAAGTTTGGACTTTAGCAATGCCAATGGCGTCTCCAATGGCGAAATCTCTGATGCTGACATTCTAAAGAGTCTCACTCAAGATGATTTGGTAAGTAACTGCAAGAGTCTTATGATTACACTCAGTATGTTGATGACATAAGATTCTTCTACAATTTACTAACTAGTGATTAAAGAAAACAAAGAATTAAGTGGGAGGAAACAATAAGATCAGCAATGCACTATTTCTCTCTAATCTATATACATTATCTCCAGGTGTGTCTCCTTTTTCATTTATATGCTTAAAACCCCCAATTAAAAAAAAAAAAAGCTCAAACCTATTTATTATGCAAATTATAATAAACTTACTATTAGTGGGGTTTATAGCTTTTACTCTTTTAAACAACAAACTTATCAGATCCTTTGAAGGCTATCTAAGATGCATTGACAAACAAACAAAGCAAATCTTTTGTAGACTTTACTGATAATTTTATTTTATAATCCAAAATAATCAGACAGACTTGGCCATGAATTGATTAATGCAGTGATCTCTAAAGTGTTCCCTACAGCTCTCTGGAATGCTTAGGTTAAATCTCTTTGTGGGATATCTGAAAAGTTTAGTTTCAGTAATTCAATGAGTGGGCATCAGTGTATCCACAATAACAAGAAGTGACACCCAGTAAATCACTGTCCATTTAGTATTGAACTTCACTATTTGAACATTAAATAGCACTCTATCTATGTCCAAGGTTTACATTCTTGATTGTTCTCGGACCTCAAACATTTTTGATACATTGTAGCTGCAAATAAATGATCATTTTTCTCTATGGCTTCATCAAAGATAGAATCGATTGAATAGTGACCTGATCAAGCTATTAAATTCTTTAAAAAAAAATTGATACAAGTAATATAATATAAATTCTTTATCTAAAGTTAAATATTTTTTTTTGTTTTTTTAACCTTTGGGAAAGAAACTAGAAAGGTTTTAATAAAAACATTAAACCTTGTGAAATTGATTGATACAGCACAAACTGTTGAGAAGCAGAAATATTACAATGGCTATTGGCACTTTGGTTTGGTTTTGATATAGATCACTCAACAATAACATACTTTGAATGAAATTGCTTAGTATTTTTCTTATTTAGAATGCCGTGAAAAAATCTTTATTTACTAAGGGCATAATAAGAAACTAGCCTGATTGACCCTTACTAATGAGTAGCAAGTCCAATCATCACTGGGAACCCTATACTTGTTACCAGATCTTTCTAAGCTTAGTAAATTACAGGGTGCTGTGATTCAAGAAAAGTTTGTAAAACCACTAGCTAAATGCTTTTGAATGTATCGGTTTTTTTCTTACATTATGACATGGACTCAGCCCTTCAAGAGGACTGTCTTTTGTACAAACAAACATAAATATTGTCCAAAATCACTCTGTAAAATGGACATGTATTTTTCTTAAATTGATATATTCCTTATGCACTGCAGAAACTAAATAACCAGTACTTCAAATTGCTCTGCTCACCATGACTGAAAAACCATTATATTTAATAGAAGGCTACAATTCAATCAAACAAAATTCTTGTTTAAGTATCCTCCAGATTCATATTTGTCCATTGTGCTCTAATGACCTGCTAATCATCTCACTTGTGCAAGGTTTTCTCTGCTGAGTGTCTACGGGCTTAAATGCCTTTAATCCAGTTGCTTTGATATTTGATGAAGATACTGTATTACTTCTTTTGGACTGGTTTAGACACTGCCATATTTTACTACCTAGATTTTTCTTTCTTTTTTTTTTCTCTCTCTCTCTCTCTTTCATCACACAGATGTAGTTTTATGGCCTGGGTTAACATGAACTAGATGCTATAATTCTCTTTCCTTCATTAATCCATTTCACAGTTGAAAGTTCCCAATTTTGATGTTGACACTAACTCCTTCCTTGCACCTTCAGGTTATCCAATAACATACCCACTTGTAATCTTAGAAATCATATGCTTTTGGTTTTTTAGGCATTGTGAAGATTTTTTTTTTCTAGTTATATCAAAAGCAAGGCAATAATGCCACTAAGACACAAGGGGTTACTGGGACTGAAAAAGAATGAGAAGACTTTAGTGAGGAAAAAGGACAGTAAAGGGACAGGATTCAGGAAGATGTAAGCTTGACGTATTTAAATTAAATTAGGTCCTTGTCATTAAACCAAGGAGCTCTCTAAAAAGTTTCTATAAATTTACCAAGGCCAATAAATCTATGACATTTCAATAGTCAATATTGTATTCTTACATCTGCTGGGGTGTTTGTTCATTGCAGAGTATGACTGGTCAGATGAGAGGTGGTCTGAAAGATATGGAACCAGAGAGTAGCAGTGAGGAAGAAGAGGAGGAAGTAGAGCCAGTCAAGAAAAAAGAACAAAAGAGGCAAGTATTTAAAAGAAAAGAAAAATGTGGATGATGTCTGGTGGTGATGAAACTGGCTTTCCTAAAGATTAGATTTATCAAATTTAATAACAAAAGAAGTTTTGATTAAAGTAAATATCAGGTCATCCCATAAGTTCTGTCCGAATTTTAACTTTTTGTTAAAATGAACGAAATTTAAAGAGCATTTTATAATGTCTAGTGGAGCTGAACATTATTTTTATGTTTAGATGCATATAAACTGATCAAATTTTATTTCAGAGAACAATAAAATTAAATTTTGTTTGATTAAAACCCCGCTAACATGGAAGTACCCAAGAATCATTTGAGGCACATAATGCTTTGAGTTCAAGAAAGGAAACTCAGCAGCCGAAGCAACTAGAAATATTCACTCAGTTTATGAAGAGGAATGTGTGAATGAAAGAACTTGCAGAAGATGGTTTCCAGTTGAGTTTGATGAAAAGCTTCTTGAAGCAGCCCTTGAAGAAAATCCTGCTTTATCAGTTGAGGAATTGGCAGTGGTTCACAGTTCAAAACATACAACTGTTCATCATCTTTAACAACTTGGAAAGGTTCCTAAACTTGGAAAATGGGTGCTTCATGAATTGTCTGAAAACAACCTCAAATCCTGAGTTGACATCTGCTCTTCTATCCATTCTCGCCATCTTGTTTCACCTTTTTTGGATATACTTGTGACTGGCCATGAAAAATGGATCTTTTATCAGAATGTTAAGCGTCGTAGACAGTGGCTTGGTAAAGGGGAAGGACCCCAGTCACAGCCGAGAAGGGAACTTCATGGGCAAAATGTTCTTCTTTCAATCTGGTGGGATCGCCCAGGAATAATCCACTTTGAATTCTTACCACCTAATGCAACAATTAATGCTCAAATATACTGTCAGCAATTAGAGCTTTTGAACCAAGCTTTGAGGAAAAAAAGATCTGCTCTAGTGAATCGAAAAGGGGTGATGTTTCATCAGGACAATGCGCGACCCCACACAGCAAGAATCATGTCATAAAAGATTGAAGAACTTGGTTGGGAGAAAATTCCTCATCCACCTTATTCTCCCGATCTTGCTCCTTCAGACTACCATTTGTTTCGTAGCTTACAGAATCATTTGGAAGAAACAGCTTTTGTAACACAGGAAGAGGTTAAAACTGACATTTGTGAGTTCTTCAAATCAAAGCCAAAAGAATTTTACAGCAATGGAATTAGTAAGCTTGTTAACAGATGGAAGGAAGTCATAGATAATCAGGGAAAATACATTGTTGATTGAATCTGTAATTAAATGTAACATTTGGTCACTTGTTTTCTTTATTCAAAATTCGGACATATGGTATGACCTGATACAATCTCATGATTGTTTCAATACAACTTTAAGTGATTTTGGTTTGAAATCCTTTCATTACTGAACCTCGTATATCTATATATAGGTATATTCTGAGTCATCAAATAATGATTAGATATATTCATTATGTTAAAATAACCTGTAAGTGCATTATTTCCAACTTGAAATAATGTATATAAAAGTTCAGCTTTAGTGTCAAATAATTTACTTAAGAGTATTATTTTTAAACAGAATAATATTTTGAAGTAGAAATCTGACTAAAGTTAAAATTATTGTTGGTGGTTGAATATTGTAAAGTAAAATGTCATGAACTTGTTAAAAAATACTTTAAAGTGTATTCTTCTGTTGGTAATTGAATGACATCCTGAAACTATTTATCCTTGTATATTATTTGTTTTAATGACTTTTCTTTGCAGCAACAATGTTACTTTTAAAAGCACTGCAAAATCTTCCTCCAAGAGTGGTTTTGGGGTTTTCAGTATGTTTAAGAATTTAGTTGGTTCTAAATCTCTGACTATGGAAGATATTCAGCCTGTGGTGGACAAGATGAAAGACCATTTGATTTGTAAGCATTTTTTTTTTTCTTTTTGTTAAAAGTTTCTTTATTTTATTCTATTTAAAGCATCAAAGATGATCATCTCCCCTTTTCAGTTTACTTTCTTAGTTCCTCTTCTATATTCCTGAATAATTTTTTTTACTTTTCATATTGGATTTCTTGTTTTTTGTTTAGGAACTTTCCTATTTTCCTCAATGCATTACTGCTATACTACTCACAATATAATCACTCCAATTCTAAGAATTCTGTAATAGTTAATGACTAATATATATTCAGCAAAAAGGGGTCTGGAGCAGAGATGAGTTGTAAATGTTCAAGATCTGCATTGGGAATAATCATCAGACACAACTATTCATTGAAGTTTGTCCATGACTGATATACAAGGAATTAAAATTGATAAACTTATTTGATAAAACCTTGTTTTCATCGATATAAAGTATTCGGATACATTTGTTGTAAACGTTCCCCAAAAACCTTGATTTGTAAATACAAATGTATATTTTAAATTCAAAAATTATACAGGAGCATAGCTAAAGATAAAACTTAATTGTTTAATGTTTTCATGGGTTCTTTTATAAACATGCAAAAACAAAAAAAACTTGTATACAAATTTAGAAAACATTTTAATAGTTCTACATAGTTTTTTTAAATCACGTTCTTCTCCATGTACTAAGTATGTGATACAATAATCATCAGGCATGAAAGTGTTTGCTACAATAGAAGATAATGTGAGATAACAGGTGCTTCTTTTTGGAAGCATTTTATAGAAAATGAAAAAAAAAAATTCTTATTTAAATTATGCATATAGGTTAATTCTTAAATAATTAAAAATCTATTAAATGAGTTAGGTCTTTATGAATAAATTCAGTGCTACCCATGATGTATAAAACTGGAGATATAGTCATGTTTTTTTTTTTGGGGGGGGTAACAATTTAGTGTGATTCCAATATATCTTGTCTACAGAAGTTTACAAAAAGTACTTTTCAAATGAATGACCATTCTACACTACAAAAAAGCATATTCTGATTGTTATAGTAGTAATAATTATTTGTCAAGTACATGTTATAGTAATCTTTTTAGTAAGAATTTAGCACATACATAGATATATTACACCTAGGATAAAAAAAAAATAACTTGTGTTAAATTTCACATTTACCTGTTTACTAGTTTTGCTATCTTTCACATAGTATTTTGTTTCGGCAATTGTCTTTTGCTTTGTTAGGTTTTATTTGCCTTGATCAATCTGGATATGAATTCCAGTATGTCTGGAGAGAATGACTCTTGACATTAATATTGTTCAAGTATTCTCAGTAGAATGTATAGTGACTTTCAAATATTTGAAATGATGGATATTTATCATTTGGGCTTGAGTAAAAAGGTTTATTTTAAATAATATCAATGTATCATCACCAGATTTTTGCCTTTGATTAAATTTAAAATCAAGTGCTGTTTACCTTAATTCTTTTCTAATAGTAATTTGATAAATATTGTCAAGGCAGTTAAATAAGGATTATATTCACATCTTGAGTGACTTTTTTTCTTTTGCAAATTCATTTTTCATCTCTATGAATCAGCAGATATGAAATAAATATAAATGTATTTTAAGTCCCAAGTGAGGAAGTTTTTAAAAAATGCTTTATTTAACAGTGAAAGTTGAAACTTTTCTGACTCTGATGGGACTAAAAATTTGATTGTTTTGAACGTTTAAGACTTTATAACTTCAAAATTAAAGGTAAATACCGATAAATGTAAAAGAAGCTTGCTTTTCTCATAGTAATGATATTCCAAAATTAAAATGACAAATTTTAAAAATTATTTTAATATTATTGTCTAATTTTATTCACTTGGATTCTTCAATTGAGTCTTAATTGTCCCATAATTCAACCAAAGTGCAATGTGTTGTAGATAATGTGGCTAAGACAAACACACGCATACACCACCACCCACAAAAAAAAAAAAAAATATCACCCAACTAATGAAAGTCAAAGAATGAGGATTGGAAAAGATAAAACAAGTATATTCCATAATCATAACAATTTATCATTTATAAGAGGGTTAAAAAAAAAAAAATATAAATTTTCCTCCGTTTTTATTTTTGTATTTTACTTTTAATAAAAAGTATGTAGCATTCAGTTGGCAGGGTTGCAAGGCTATGTTGCATTCATTTTTGAAGAGATTAAAAACTATATTGTCATTAAGGTTTTTGTAATGCTATAAACCTGAATAATGTAGGAGTAAAAATGAAATCTTCAGAAATAAAACTCATTTGAACCTTTTTGTTCTGATTATTAAATAGTTTATATTAATTATATGTTAAATTAGAAACCACAAAATGATGACTTTGTCAGGAATAAAAGCTTTGTTCAAAAACCCAAATAATTTATTTGTATATGGCTGTTTTAATTGAGGGAATTGTGTGTATGAATGTGTGTGTATATTAACTGGAGTGATTACTAAACCTGTTTATAAAAAACATTTGTTCCAAATGAGGAAGTTTGAATAAGCTTGATTAAATTGTGAGAGCAAAACTTTTCTGACTCTGATGGAACTTGAACAAAAATGGAGTTAAAAAAGACCTGGTGAAATATAGAATTGAATGCATTTATGTAGATTCATGAGCACAGATAACTTCACTTATATGGGAGTAGATCATGTTTATTAGAAATCAAATCATCAATGGGTGCTTGATCCCATTCCCAAAATTAGTATTGATATTTGGTCATAAAAAAAAATTGTTTATTGATAAGCAGTATCTGAATACATTTTTAGCAAATGAGCATAAGTAAGCCTTTCTGTGAAGTGATCATTGTTTATTTTAACCAAACAAATGCATGAGTGTTATTTAGGCACATGCAAACAGTGCTGCAATGACTAATGATTAGGCCAAAATATGATTAATACAAATGGTGTTGGTAGGATAGTCAGCAATGACTAGATATTTCATGTGCAAGAAATATGCAATCCTCAGGCAGCTGGCCGCCACCTTTGTAGTCAAGAGTATGAGTTTGCTGAAGCGGAATAAATAATGTTGACACCAAAGATCATTGCCAGCTGCCTGAGGCTTGCCCATTCAAGTTGATCCAACCATCTTACTGACACCATGTTTTTTATTTATATATAATGTGCATGTAAGAAAAAATATTTAGAAAATATCAAGTATTTAACAAGAAAAAGTTCCCAAATTTTCTATCTGTAATGAAATCTGATTTGTAATTTTTTTCATATGTTAGGGTATATTATTTGATTTGTACTACTAAACAGTATAAAAGACAAAGTAATGTTAAGAAACCTCTATTATTTTACTTTGTTATATGTATGACTGGTGAGTTTTGTAACTAGGATCAAACTGTAGTATCTGATTCTTGGCACTGAGCTGGAATTAGTTATCTATAAATTATATTCTGCACAAAAGAATTGCGGACCAGAGACAAAGAAATGTATGATGAAAGAAAGCAAGGGGGGGGTGATTTGGACAGATGACTAATATAGCTGGATATATAGTTTTTTTTTTGTTTTTTTTTAAGAGATGAAGTAAAAGATGAAAGGATGCAGTAGAAAATATCTGTACATTCCTTATTACTTTTTTGCATCTGAACCTAATCTATGTTTGTACAAAATTTAGCTAAGAACATAAGTGAGAAACTGAAGACAAATGTTAAGAAGCAGGCAATAATCAGTAATTTTAGTTGTCAATAGTCATGACATTTCCCTGGAGTCACAAAGTTAATATAACTGTGCTAACATTTAATAATTTTTAAATTTACTTTTTATTAAATTGTTTAATATTTGCCAAGTTTTGTCTCAAATGAGGAAACTGTATAAATCTTGATTAACTATGAAAGTTAACTTTTCTGACTCTGATGAGACATTTCTATTTAGATTTTGTATTCTGGGACTATACCTTGAATGATTTTATTTGGTGTAGTTGGGAGAAGCAAGCATTTCTTTGAAACTGTAATGGTGCAAATAAGACTTTGGTGGTGGGAGCAGTTTTGATAGTAATAACTTCACAGGCTTAGATGCCCAAGAACATTGTTGCTTTGAATAACCATATGCCTTACAAGAAATGTTATATCCACTGGACATGTATTATATGTACAAGTTCTATTTTCTAATAATTTTACTCATTAAAATTGCTATATCTGTAGATAATGCATGGTTAAATTTCATTTGTTTTTTATTATAGGAAGGTAAAACATTTTTACAACAGACTTAAGTGTTTTGTGATTTCCCCTAAACACTAACTTGACCATTTGCAAAAGAATAACCAGTTGAGACAAAAACAGTCTTCTATGATCCAGTTGTAATTTTCTCTGGCCCAGATGAAGCCATTAATAATTTAGTAATCATAAAGTAAATCACTATGTTCCAATTGATGGTGTTTTTAATACCTTTATTATATTGTACTTTTATGCCTCTGCTATGACATACATTTTATATCATTTAACCTGCAATAAATTAGAAGCAGAGAGCAAAGCAAAATGTCTGTTTAGAATAATTAAGATAATGAAAATCTAGATTATTATCAATTTGGTTTTTAACTTCAACCTTCAGGATATTTTAGTCTATAACATGGAATGAAAAAAAATTGATCTTTTAGTTTGGGTGATTAGTAAATGTTTCTAAGAAACACTTGTTCCAAAAGAAGTCTGTGAGAGCAAAACTTTTCTGACTTTGATGGAACTAGAAAAAAAACTCTATTTCATCTGGTGGAATATGGGATTAAATGCATTTTTATATAGATTCACGAGCACATGCATATCTTCACTAATGCTGTATATGGGCACATCATGTTTGTTATATAGAAAAAATTACAACTGACTGAAATAAAGCATGTGCGCTTCTCACAACCACCTCAAAATTTGATATTTGTGTACAGCAGAAGACTTTTTTTTTTTTTTTTTTTTTTTTAATAGTTGGGTAAGGCACGTTTCCATGCCCCCACCCCACTTGTTAAGTTTTAAAAAATGAAAAGTGCACTTACATGTTATGGTTCTCTCATATTTTTAACATGTGGTAGGCATTTAAAAAAAAATTAAAGTTTTCTCTAAATTAAGTCTAAATTTTAATTTTATTACCTTTTTTTTTCCCCCCTCTCTCCTTCTGTCTCTCTCTAATGTTATGATAGGTTCTCATTCATTCTGATGAAAAATTACGTGAGAAGAGGGAACAAGACAAAAGTATGCTGGTTGGATATAAAGAAACAAATGAAAAATGGAAAGGTGAAAAAAATTGCAATACATTTTTTAAAAATTTTTATTAGAGATAGAGCAAAAAAAAGATGGTGCAGTAGAAGAAATTTGTACATTCCTTATTTTTTTTTATTTTTTTTTTTTAACGTCAGAACCTAATCCATGTTTATATAAAATTTAGATAAGAACATAGACGGGAAGAGGCAGGCAATAATCAATAATCTTAGTTGTCAATAGCCATGAAATTTCTCTGGAGTCAATATGCTAATATTTAATAATTTTTAAATTTGTATTTTATTATTTAATATTTTCCAAGTATTGTCTCAAATGAGGAAATTGTATAAATCTTGATTAACTGTGAAAGTTAACTTTTCTGACTCTGATGAGACATTTCTATTTAAATTTTGTATTCCATGACTACACCTTGAATGATTTTATTTGTAGTTGGAGGAAACCAAGTATTTTCTTGAAACTGTAATGGTTCAAATAAGATTTGGCTGGTGGGGGCAGTTTCAATAGCAATAAATACACAAGCTTAGATGATCAAGAATTTTATTATATTTTTTATACATTGTCATTAATAATTTGAATAGTTATATCTCCTAAAAAAAAAAAAAATTCAAGCTCACTGGTCAGGTATTGTAGGTATAAGTTCTATTTTCTAATAGTTTTACTCGTTGAAATTGTTATATATGTAGGTAATACATAGATAAATTTAATTAGTTTTATATTATCAGGTAAACTCCAAAATTACAGATTTGCATTGTGTTTCCAATACCTTTCAGTTTAAACAAAAAAAAAATCACTATATTACAATTGAGGAAGTTTGCTTTGTCTCAAATGAGGAAATTGTATAAATCTTGATTAACTGAAAATTTTAACTTTTCTGACTCTGATGAGACATTTCTATTTAGATTTTGTATTTCAGGACTACATTTTGAATTTCATTTGGTGTGGTTGGGGGGAAACACGTATTTTCTTGGAAAAGTAATAGTGCAAATAAGATTTGGGTGGTGGGTGCAGTTACAATAGTAATAACTTTACAGGCCTAGATGCCCAAGAACATTGTTGCTTTGAATAACCATATCCACTGGACATCTATATACAAGTTCTATTTTCTAATAATTTTACTCATTAAAATTATAAAATAAAATAAAAAATTCTAGAACAAACTTAATGACTTTGTGCTTTCCTCTAAACACTAACATTGAGGCATTCACAAAATAATTCAGTTATCTAAATAAAGACAAACTACAGATATGCAATGTGTTTCCAGTAGCTTTCCATTTAAATTGTTTAGCATTTTATTATATAAAATAAGTTAAAGTTTTTCATTCAATTAGAAAATAATGTTTACATTGTAAATATTCTTCTGAAATAGATCTCCCCTTGATCACCACCTGCAAATAAAATGCATTCCAAATGAGGGAGTTTGGAAAACCTTGATTATAAGGAGTTGTATCTTCATATCTCTATGACATTGAGTACAAAATACTGTAATTCTACACATTGCTTAAATCTTTATCAATAGGAACATTAAAACACCTTGTTAATAAATATACTATCTTAAATTCTAAATTTTACAAATTTAGATCCTATTTATATATGAGAGTATGTGGGGAAAGTTCTCACTTCAGCCCACTTCCCCAAGTCTAACTGTCTTATTTCCTTTAACCAACAGAATAAACAGCAAAAAAAAATATATTGTCTATGTTTAGAATAATTATGGTAATCTATTTTCAAGGCATATTCATTACACATGGAATTTTATAAAAAAAAAAAAATAAAAAAAAAAGATTAACTTTTAAGTTTGGGTTAAATATGTTTGTAGGAAGCATTTTTATTTTGTTCCAAATGAGGAAGTTTGAATAAGCTTGATTAAATTGTGAGAGCAAAACTTTTCTGACTTTGATGGAACTGGAGCAAAAAAAGAGAGGAAAAGAAAAAAAACATTGATATTTCTTCTGGTGGAACATGGAATTAAATGTGTTTTATCTAAATTCATGAACACATATGTAGCGTCACTAATACTATATGTGGGCACATCATCTTTATTACAAATTAAAATATTCAATTCGAATCAATGTGAGCTGAATGTTTATTTGCTTGACTCCATTCCCAAAATCATTATTGATATTTGTGTATCAAATTTTTTAGTAATTGAGAAATAGTCCTATGATTCGAATCTGTATCCATCCCCACCCCCCAATGTAATGTTACTATTTGACAGTGACAACTTTGGGGGCTATTTTTAGTGTATAGAGATTTACTGAAAATTTTATAACAACTTTGCAGTCTTCAAACTAGTCAAAATTTTGTGTTATAAGCTTGTGCGTGATGTTATATTGTGTATAGTTGCAGCTTGTTTACATTAACTAAAAGTGGATGATGTAATATCCTGCAACAATAGAGAAATGTTAATTTTTGCCTGTGTTTCTCTTTATATATATATATATATATATATATATATATATATATATATATATATGCATGCATCTCCTCACACACACAAAGCATTTAACTTATAGAAGATGAATTAAAATAGTTTCATATTATTCCAAATGAATTTTTATCACAGTTGTGAGTTACATTTCTGATAGAAGATTAAAACTTAATTTTATTAAAAAGGATTATCAGTTTTCTCTTGGAATGCAATCTTTTAAAGTAAAAAATACTTGTATTGGTGATTAAAATGACCTCTTTTTTTTTTATTATTATTATTTATTTCAGCCAAAAATGTAGCTTCAGACATTTCTCAAAAATTGTGTGATTCTGTAGCTACTAAGTTGGAAGGCAAAGTGCTTGGAACATTTGGTAGTAAGTATTACAATATTATGTAATTTCTTTGTAATTAGTATTCTGCTAGTATGTACTTGCATTCAAGAAATATGTAAATTTTTCATATATGTTTGTCTTAAATTTTTATGATTTTTCTGTTATCAGGGTCTTTAAAAAATATTAGAGCAATCACTAAGGAATCCTTTTATATGCTCAGCCAAAATCAAAAAAAAATACAGGAGTAAATGCTAACAAAAAATTTGGGCTAAATGACCAAACATATTTTATCTTTAAGAAATTCTTGATCAGGTTGAGAACTTTTCAACACTTCATATCTAAATTAAAATGTGTGAAATGATGATTAAAATTAAATACAACTATGTAAATATAGCAATAAATTACATTACTTTAATACATGAAATACATACATGACTATATGGTATAATTTGAATATTGGGTGTAACCTTGTTTCAACATGGAGGTAACAGGAGAAATAATGTTAAATTTTAAAATCAGAAAATGGTTTGATGTTTTTAAATTTGATTAAAAATAAAATTGATAATATCAAGTTTGAGCACCTATTTCAAAATTACAATGGGGAGGGGAAATGAATTAATCAATTATCAATAATTACAAAATGTTTCTGTTGTGTGTTAAAAAATTATCTGACCAGTAACATACAAATAAATTTACATTTCAGGGTAATACATATTTATTACAAGAATATATGCAAATAAATCTGATCCCTGTAACTTTCTTTTCTGTTTAGACTGATATAATTTTCTGCCTTTATGTTTCTAGGTATTACTACAACTGTAAAGAATACTTTAAATGAATCCTGTGTCCAGATTCTGTCTCCACAACGTCGTATAGATATCCTACGTGATGCACTGGATGCTAAGCAACAACGTCGTCCTTATTGTATCACTTTTTGTGGTGTTAATGGAGTTGGCAAGTCCACAAACTTGGCTAAGGTGAGACTAGTGGGGGCTTTCATAGTTTTTACTTTCAGTTTTATTCTTTCTGCAATTGATATTTCCAATCTGCTACCCAGATATTTTAGTGAACCTCACCATGCTTTTAACATATCTAAATAAAAACTATAATTGCTGTCTTATGTCTCTCTTTCTCACACATAGTTATAAAAATTTGCTATACTTATGGTGAATATTGGGGATAGCGCAGTTTTCGTTATAGGCAGTGTGTGCATGGAAATCAACAATGCATTGGTAACTGTTAGAATCATTCTTCAAGCTATCATGAGATGAGCTGAGATGTGAAACTGACAGTCACCATGCAGTTTTGATTTCCATATTGACATTGTCTACTTTGAGAGCTGTGGTCCCACATTCTTTATTGGAGCCTACAGTATTTGTGTGAGAAGGAAAATATCAAGTTCAGTGTTAATCTGTGCTGGAACTCAAATTCACAAACCACCCAACTAATCTGTTTTCTTTGAACAGTCTGAATGTACAATTATTAAACCTATGAAACTCCAGTTTCAACAGTTTATTTAGTGTCTATCAAATTTCACATTAAGGCCACATGTTTTTGTTTGTTTATTTTTTTGGAATACTATCATACTAAATCATACAAGTGAAAGTTTTAATATAATTTCTTTTATTACCTACATCAGAATTATCATGAACGAATAATACCCATGAAAGTTTTATGGTTTTCCTATTTGAATTTTCTCATGAATCATAATTAAGTTAATGACTAAATTAGCTACTTGCAAGTTCAGTAACTATCTATAAAATACCTGTCAAAATTCCCCTATTGCATTGTTAAATATTTGAGTTAAACAGCTTTAATGAAATATTACAATAACAATCATAAATGTCAATGCAGGTCATTATTTAGAGAATTAGGAGTGTATGAATGAAAAGATTAAAATTTAACAAGGTTTTCCATTTCACTGAAGCAGATGCTAAATGCAAAAGTGCATTATCACCTCTCCTTTTTCTCAGTAAAACCAAACAGCATCTCTTTTATGTCTTTTTCTTCTGTCTTTCCTTGCAATCAGTGAAATAGACTATTATCTGAGCTAATGACAGGGCATAACATACATGCTAATTAAGGAACAAGCATAATTGTAATATGATAAGAAATAACTTGTATTTTATTTGTATCACTATGAGTACTGACAGTGACTTAGTGTTATTCTCCATCCTTACTTTTTTTTTTTTTTTTTTTTTTTTTTTTCAATATTTCCTCTTCCAGTTATTGCTGTGATTTATTAATTTGTATCATCATTTTTCATCTTTCATGCATACACATACACACACAAGATCGGTTTTATCATTATTATGATGTTTATATTGTACAGGTGTGTTTCTGGCTTGTTGAAAATGGTTTACGTGTGTTGATTGCTGCATGTGACACATTCCGTGCAGGTGCTGTTGAGCAGCTGCGTACTCACACCCGCAAACTGAATGCCCTCCACCCAGCTGATATGCATAATGGTGTGCAAATGGTGCAACTTTATGAGAAAGGCTATGGAAAAGATGCTGCCGGAATTGCTAAAGAAGCCATTAATTTTGGTGAGCACATTATCAATTTCATTTTATTTTTATTCTTAGAAAATAATGTGTCCCTGCTTGTCTTTGTAGTGAAAAATAACAAATATTTTGGATTTCACCAATTCTACAGACTACAATTGGCTGTAGATACTTATGTACTTAAAATTTAAGTTTATTGATATTTTTAAAAATAATTGTAGCATAGCTAATCTTATATTTTATTGTCACTATTTACATAATCTTTTTTTTTTTTTTTTTTTCTTTTAATTTTTGCCAGCACGTGACAGCCGTATAGATGTTGTACTTGTTGATACTGCTGGACGAATGCAGGACAATGCACCTTTAATGAAAGCTTTGGCTAAGGTTAGTTAATTCTGCTAAATTGATTACTTCACTCTTGAAAAAGCTTTTACATGAAAACCTGGATATATGAAATTTTGGCCAAAAGTTTGACCATCTGGCAAAAATTAACATTTTTCTATTGCAGAATATTGCATGATCAACTTTTAGTTGATTTTAATTTTTTCATTGTAAACAAACTGCATTTATAAGCACTGTAACACAGTTTTATCTAGTTTGAAAGCTGTGAAGTTGTTCTAATGAATAGTTTTCAGTAAGTTTTATACATTAAACTGGGCAAAACACATCCTAACCTTCTGACATTCAAGGATATCAAATAGTAACATTACACAGAGAGCAATACACAGCATGAAATCTCTGTCCAAATGGATTTTAGCGAGACTGCAATTCACAATACTATCACCAAATATGAAGCTGATGGCTCTTACTCTGATTGAAAGAAAAGTGAATGTTCCAGAAAAACAACCCCTAGAGATTATCATACCAAATAAAATCAATCCTACAATCACAGACAAGTTAATTTTAAAATAAAAAAAAACTTCTCTGCTTCTGAGATTTCTTGTGTCACAATCACGAGCAGGATAAATAATATTATATGGGCTCCCAGTATCCATTTATAAATGAATTTATATTTTTGTCCAATGATTGGCTTCAATATCTAAGATGATGAATTCAGGAGATTCATTAAAAAAGATTGGGCAGTATGCCAGGATGGAATGATTCAACATATGAAATGTAATATCAATGACCAGTGAAAGAATGACATGAATGAGGATATGAAAGTTAAACTAAATTTTAACAATAGAATAACCACGAATGAAAGAAAGAGACATATTCGTGTGATGGAATGTGGTGTATGTTACATATAAGGACAGGTGTTTGTTTGGCAAAAATGTGTATAGGGTAGAAATGGCAAAGATGGATCAGATACTTATCTGGAAACTCATTGAATATAGGGGAGTTATTTTGCAAGTGTTTCAGAAGTAAACGGTTCAAACTCCTCTTTTTGCATTATTAGATGAAGTTTGGTGACTTCATCCCATTGAATGCCTTAATCCCAATTATGAAAGAAAATGAGTTCATTAGCAGTTCAAAGTTAATTCTTTATTTCATTCACAAAATAATTCTGGTTGTAAAATTACTGCTTTTTCTTGCTATACATGGGAGACATAATCTGTAATGTTATCGGCACAAGGGTTTTTTGTCAACAGAATTTTCTTTTTAAATTTTTATTAAAACGTGTTCTGGAGAGGAAACAGTTCATCTGACCCGAACATGCACTCTCCATTGTCAACGTTAGTTATCTTGTGAGTCTTTGATCTGATTCCACATGTATCCATTTTACAGGACCTGGCCATCTGACTTGAAATGGGACACGTGGCGAATAAAGAAAGGAGAAAAGTGAGAAGGACCTAGATATGTTATAGTTACTTCTCATACAACCTATTTGTTTTCTCTCCCCCCCCCCCACCCTTTGATTACAATAATAATTAACATGTTTAGGTATTGCTTACCTGTAATACTTGAATGATTGTTTTGATTGTTTCTTTTAGATTGATCAATGAATTTCAATTTAGATTATGCAAACCTAACCCCTAAACCAAAGTTGACTGTGGTAATGAAAAAGAAGCACCTGGCATTTACAAAAAAGAAAAAAAAAGAGGAGCATCAGGGAAAATGTTATGTTCTCTGATGAATCTACACAGCAGCACTTTGTTGTGTGTGAGCCTTATGTCAAAGGGCTTCCAGGGAAAGGATATAATTAAAAATATGTCATACCAACTATGAAACACTTTCCCAATCAGATAGATGATTTGGTGCACAATTTTCAAAATTTGGAACACTTTGTTTCAGGGTACAGAAAATATAAACAATCATGAATGGTCAAAAGTATTTGGAACTGTTACAGAATAAACTAGTGATTCAATTGCACATACATGGTTGCAGCATATTTATGCATAATAGTGCCTCATACCACAAAGCAAAGAAAGTGTAAGGTCATGGTCACTACATCAGAATGACCTGATAACATCCCTTATCTTGATTCTATAGAAAATTTGTGTGATTACATGAAGAATAATATTGCAGGCAAACAACCAATCAATGCTAAAGCTCTTGTGGATTCCATCAAGAACGTTTGGACTACTGAGATTACAGTAGAATATTGTCAGTCTCATAGCCAACATGCCTCATCATATTGAAGTGGTTATCAAGATATCAAAACACTAGTTTATATGAATAGAAAATAAACTGCATTTAATAAATTTAATGCATTATAATGAGTACTACCTTTTTATTTTTATGCTATTGAGATTTTTGTTCATTTTCATTAAAAGAAAATACTGGGTAGTCTTAAACTTTTGGTCACAGCTATATTTATATACTATCGGTATTTAACCCCTGCACAGACTAAAACTAAAGATAAAAGTTGAGAAATAGGATGCAGCTTATTTCTCTAAACTCTTTTTAATATTGTATATATTTGCAGCTTATCAAAGTGAACCAACCTGATCTGGTTTTGTTTGTTGGTGAAGCTCTTGTAGGCAATGAGGCTGTTGACCAACTCACCAAATTCAATCAAGCTTTAGCTGACAACTCCAACATGACCAACCCCAGACTTATTGACGGAATTATTCTCACTAAATTTGATACAATTGATGACAAGGTAAGCAAAACACTTTTATGTTCAAGTTTCCAAAAGAATTACCCTAGTTAAAAAAAAATCCTAAACTTTGCTAAATTGTAAAGCCTTACATTTTTTTGTGAACCCTTTTGACTTGTTAATAACTGAATTAGAGATAAAGCATTTGGTGTAAACTGTTCTCCAAAAACCTAATACTGCTTCAAAATAAAGAGCCTGTCAAGATCATTTTTATTTATCAATAGTTTGTGTGTGTCAGAAGGACTTCCATAATTAATTGTAATCTTCCTGAATTGGATATGTTAACTAGAATGTATTGAAATCTTATTTAGATTTTGAAAAAAAGCACTTAGAAATCAGATATGTGTATTTATCTCATGAAATGTGGATGACAAATTTCAGCCATTGTAATCATATAGGTTAATCCATGTGTATCTATATGATTTGAGGTGGTTAATGAAAAACAATACAGCAAGTCTGTGTTTAGTATGATGGAAGTGATTGCTTGTGGAACTACCTTTTACATATTGATTACTTAAAGTCAATAGAGGCATGCTTATCTTATATCAGGCTCTTAGTTATTTAATTCTCACAGTATTAACTCTTATGTTTTCAATTAAGCTTGCAGGAAATGAGGATAACTGAGTTTGTTAAAAATAACTTTGGGAAGTGATTTCATTTTCTTTTTCTTTTTCTTTGAAGGCCTTAAATTTGGGGGGGGGGTACTTTTATTTTCTGTCACATACATTTAATGCTAATAGCTTAACTTTCAACTTGCTCAAGTTGAAAATTATGCCTCTTTGGAGAATGACATTTGGTGTAGAATAATTAATTGGCAATTACACAACCTTAAAAATGAAACCTAAAAAAGAACATCCCAGTAGCCTAGTGAAGAAAATAATTTAGAGAAAACAGTACAATTTGAAATATTTTAGTTTTTATTTTTAGCTATTATTTCTGAAATTAAGTATATTCATACATTTTTAGCTATAGATTAGCCATCACTAATCTGGTATCAGTGGAATTTGTAGAGTGCTAGACGACGTGCAACGTATTGTGGGTGTTTCCGTCTGTTCAAAATTTTCATCCATCTCTGGGCTCTGGATATGGTTGTCAAGTGTCATGTTATTGTGTACCCACTAGGATGAGATTATTGAAGAATTTTTCTCATTCCAGTGAGCCATGGTCTCGTAGTCCTGGAGACTTTCTCAAAAGGCAAAATGATTTTGGGTAGAAGAATAAATGCCGATTTAAAAACTACCAACAATTTAATGCCATAGACTGTCAAAAGTTACAATTACTCTTGGTTGATTTTCTACTAAGATCTTAAGGTGTTGAAAATTGATAGTAGGGTTAGATTTTTTTTGTGTGTTAGAGATTTTTTTCTGCTTAGGAAGAGGGAAATAGACATCATTTTCTCTGGATGCAGTGAACAATTCTCAGATGCAAACTAAACAACCACTGGCCCTGGCGTTTTTATCAGGTGAGTGACATTGATGGATAGTATCTTCAAACAAAGAACTTCCTATCAGAAACGCACGTGGCTCTGACCAGATTTAACCTGTTCAAAAGTACCTTTACTTGGATTCAGATGTTTTAATAACACTAAATGTAACTTTGGTGGAATAGTTCACTAAATGCACACTTCCCAGATTCAGCTGAATTCTGCAGAATTTTGGTAAAAACATTAATCTTATCACAATTTCCTTGAGGATGAAAAATGGAATAGGGAAAATTCAATTCTACTGAATTTACTAAATTTTAATAGGTTTATTTTGGGTCCAGTTTCTACTGATGCCTAGGCTAATATGCATTTTATATGTTCTGATTAATATTTTTAAACTGAACCTTCTTCCATCAGGTTCTAATCTGATTAAATAATCTATATTTTTTTTATGTATTTTTATTAATTCACTAAAATTCTTAACTTTCTCAATACCTCAACTCAAGACCTTTCATGAAATATTGACTCCATCAGGGTTACTGCCATGTTAGAGTAGTGCAGGTTGATTTTTCACTTTTTTTTAGAAAACCAACATTGCACTCTGTGCAAAAGTTGTGGTTTGATATGATAAGTATTTTCACCAAAAATTTGATTCATTGCTTTTATCAATTTTTGAGCATTTAGGTTTAAAGATTGTCTGAAAAACTGTACACAAATACCTAATTTCCACACGTTTTTGCTTACAAGCTGACTTCAAAATTTTACTCATTCAAAAACAAATTCAAGTAAAGTTGATATTTTTTTTGTATTAGATACATTGAACAGATAAAAGTACATATAACGCCATAACACTGCTGGGCACAAGTGTACAAGTAAATTCAGCAACTCCAATGTTGTTCCATTCATTAGAACATCTTGCAGTTCATTATTTGAAAAACCTTTTGCAAGCTCAGGTTTACAATCTTCATTTTTTGGGAGGTTAATCAAATTTGACTAATGTGTCACATCAGAGTTGAATGTAATTTTTTTTAATCTCTTCTCTGGTGGTACTTCTGAAAGAAAAAGTATTTTTGTGCTGTAAACTTTTTAATGCAACATTCTCTATTTCAGTTGACTGATCATGTTGAAAATATACAGTTGTTGGTTATGCGATTTATTCTCCCCTTTAATTTCAAACCAACAAACTGTATTTATTTCAATTATAAATTCTATAAGGCTGTACACTTTATCATAGTTCTGGTGGATAAGCACCTGGTCCATAAACACATTAACTTGATTGCTAAAAGTTAGCAATCTTGCTTGATTTAGAGACCCAATTTTTCAGGCAACAAATCTAAGGTTCACTTTCCTTTGAAAAATTCCTGTTGCATAATGTAAGAGCAGTCTCTGGTCACCACTTAAATCTTCCATTGCCCCTGCAGTAAAATATATCTAGAGGGCCACTGATAGTGTTAAATTCTACCTAGGGCAAATCCTGGTAATCATTTCCACAAAGTGTCTCTAGAGGACCAGTAAAAGTAGTAGGTCCTCTTATAGTTCCATCACTGTACTTAAAAGCAGCTCTAAATGGAGGTTTATTTTGATGAAATGAACCAATGGTGTGCAACTTGAGTTTTTTTTTCTCCAGAATTGTAACAAGCCATACCTCACAACCAGTGTTTGTACAGGTATTATCCATAAGAACTGCCTTAATGGAATTATGCTGTTGAATTCTTCTAAAACAGCAGCAACATCCTCTGAACACCAGTTGCACCAATGTTAGGGATAACTCATAGGTGAGATGTCTACTTTCCTTGTCCATCTCTGGTGAAAGTCAAGTGGTGCTCTGGTCTTTTGGCTTTCTTAAAAAAATTTTTTTTTTTTTTTTGCTCTCCTCTGTAATCTTTGTCTTGCAAAGTCTCCTTATCAACTCGGCAATTAGCACAAATGCAGGTGATATTTTTATGGTTCTGAACATACAACTGATTGCCTGTATATTTTTGACTTATCAATGATAATGTCCTTTTATGGCTTGGATAAAGAAAGCCCATATCTTGTAGGTCTGATAAAAAGGCATTAGCAATCCATACCCCAAGGTTGGAAGATACATCATCCTTAATAATTTCCATGCCATATCTAGAGATTGTAAGTTTCCTTAGAAAGTCTCCTTAGCTCAAAACTGTCATCAGTTGTTTCTTCACTGGAAGATATTGGTGAAAAAATATCTGATGTTGAGGCAACAAGTGTAGAATCTTGCTGTTACTATATTTCAATTTGCCTCTGCTTCAGCTACACATTTTTTTCTTTGTCAATAATCCCAAGTTGGAAGCTGCCTTTTGGTCCTGTTTTCTGTCTCTTTTAAATATTCTCTTTCTTCAGTGGGAACCTGACATTTCAAAATGTGTATAAGTTTAAAAACAGATCTAGCATACATGATAGATATGAAGAAAAATATCACAATGTTATCAGAGAAGGGAAGATTATTGGAAGTAAATTTATATTTTCATTTAATTTAAATTTTGAAAATCAGTACATGAACTAGTTCAAATTAAAAAAAAAAAAACAAGCATAGAATTAACATTAACTTCTTGTGAAAAGGACAAATGCAAACATTACCCTATTTTAATAAAATTTCAAAAGTGAATTTGAAATAAGAAAAAAAACAGTATTACTTACCTAAATGGAAATATAGTTTCTCCCATGGAAATAAGCAAATACGTTTTAAATAAATGCCAGTCACTTTGAAAATGCAAAATTATGTAGATTAAACAAAATGTTTAATTTCTGTTCAAATAATTAAGTCTGTTGTAAAAAAAAAAAATACAAAAATCTAATTAATTTTGCAATGACAAATGAACAGTGGTTAACATTCTAATACCAAATGTAATAAAAATAGCAGCAAATGTTTATAACATTGAGAACTTAGATAAGTCATCGAAAGAAGATTCCAGGACAAAGTTCATAAATAAAATTTATTTTACTATTGTTGATTAAAATAAAGAAATCTTTTTTTTTTTTTTTTTAATGAGATTTTTATGGTATGTGTGTTTGAGAATTAATTTAATTTTTTTACACTGAAAAATAGCAAAGCATAAATTCTCTGAGAAAAAAAAAATTTTTCATTGCTAGCCACAGCCAAATGCATCATATTTAATCTCCATTTCTACCTTTTTATAAAGTGAATATTTTTATATTATTCATAATTCTGATTTATTGAGAACGAGATAATGTTGCAATTGGAAAACATTTTATCAATGATATTTGCACATTTTTTTCCCCTAAGGGTACAAAATTTTTAACGTTAAATTTTTCATTGGTCACAAGGATGAAATTCTAATGCTCAAAATGTTTAACCTAAATTTAATCTTTAAACTCAATTCCTCAAAAAACTAACAATTTAGAAAAAAATATTTTGTCATAATTTATCCTGTCAGACCCCAACTTTCAAATACCATGGTTCCAGATAAGTGATTTTTGTTACTGATGGTGACTTTTTTTTTTTGTGTGTGTGTGTCATAAACATTAGAAGAACCAATGTTATATATATCACACCAACTTCACACAGACATGACACTGTCAAGTTCTTTCAGAATTCTACCTTATCTGTTATGGTATGGTATTTACACCATGAGAAGCACTTCCTGCATTCAATGGAACTAAATGTTTATAATAAAATGAACAAAGGACAAGTAGAAATGCCATACCTGCATTTGAAAGTGCTCAAAACAGGCAATGAAGTAGCTAGTGGCAGCTTTGTGCAACAATCCAGGAAATTAGTGTCAGATTACTGATTGCCAAATTGGTTGTAGCCACCCTATATTGGATTTTAAGTTTCTAATAAATAATAGAATATTTAAAGCACTTTATGACAAGTATGTAAAACTACTAATTCAGTTACTTTAAGTTAACATTATATCAGGGCATCCCATAAGTTCTGTCCGAATTTTGAATAAAGAAAACAAGTGACCAAATGTTACATTGTTGATTGAATCTGTAATTAAATGTATTTCCCTGATTATCTATGACTTCTTTCCATCTATTAACAAGCTTACTAATTCCATTGCTGTAAAATTCTTTTGGCTTTGATTCGAAGAACTCACAAATGTCAGTTTTGTCAGTTTTTGTGTTACAAAAGCTGTTTCTTCCAAATGATTCTGTAAGCTACAAAACAAATGGTAGTCTGAAGGAGCAAGATCGGGAGAATAAGGTGGATGAGGAATTTTCTCCCAACCAAGTTCTTCGATCTTTTGTGACATGATTCTTGCTGTGTGGGGTCGCGCATTGTCCTGATGAAACATCACCTCTTTTCGATTCACTAGAGCAGGTCTTTTTTTTCCTCAAAGCTTGGTTCAAATGCTCTAATTGCTGACAGTATATTTGAGCATTAATTGTTGCATTAGGTGGTAAGAATTCAAAGTGGATTATTCCTGGGCGATCCCACCAGATTAAAAGAAGAACTTTTTGCCCATGAAGTTCCCTTCTTGGCTGTGGCTGGGGTCCTTCCCCTTAAACAAGCCACTGTCTACGGCGCTTAACATTTCGATAAAAGATCCATTTTTCGTCACAAGTCTATCCAAAAAATGTGAAACAAGTTGGTGAGAATGAAGAGAAGAGCAGATGTCAACTCAGGATTTGAGGTTTTCAGACAATTCATGAGGCACCCATTTTCGAAGTTGTTAAGATGACGATGAATAGTTGTATGGTTTGAACCGAGAACCACTGCCAATTCCTCAACTGATAAAGCAGGATTTTCTTCAAGGGCTGCTTCAAGAAGCTTTTCATCAAACTCGACTGGACGTCCGGTTCGATCTTCATCTTCAAGGGTGAAATCTCCACCTCTGAATTTTGCAAACCATCTTCTGAAAGTTCTTTCATTCACACATTCCTCTCCATAAACTGAGTGAATGTTTCTAGCCGCTTCGGCTGCTGAGTTTCCTTTCTTGCACTCATAAAGCATTATGTGCCTCAAATGATACTTGGGTACTTCCATGTTAGCAGGATTTTAATCAAACAAAATTTAATTTTATTGTTCTCTGAAATAAAATTTGATCAGTTTAAATGCATCTAAACATAATGTTCAGCTCCATTAGACATTATAAAATACTCTTTAAATTTTGTTCATTTTAACAAAAAATTAAAATTTGGTCAGAACTTATGGGATGACCTAATACATTTTCTTTTTAGCTCTAAATTTTTGGCTTATTAGATAAGATTTATAAAAAAAACTATGTAGATATTAAGGATTCTGAATGCATACACTTGATAAATCTTCATCGGATAATTTTTTTTTCTTGTATTATGATATTTATTGTTCCTTTTCCTTTTCTTTCTATAGGTTGGAGCAGCTATTTCCATGACTTACACAACTGGCCAACCTATTGTCTTTGTTGGCACCGGCCAAACTTACACTGATCTAAAAAATTTGAATGCCAAAGCTGTAGTCCATGCTCTCTTGAAAGCCTGAGAAGCTCTTGATTTTTGATACTATTTCATTTCAAAAATGAAGTGAGAATTTTCAACTGATGAGAAGTCGAAATAATTTAAATATTTTGTCCTATTCTTATTTATCTGTCTCTCAAATCTCTATTACATTCTTTAAACTTTGCTCTCCATACCTTAAAGAAATCTGCCCATTCTCTTTGCCTCCAAATACTCTTAATTTCTTTTTTTTTTTTTTTTTTTTTTTTTTTTTGTGTGTGTGAGGTGGAGTCAGATGTCAACAATATTATAAAGAAAGAAAAATTACACTTTATACTGGTGAATGGGCAAAATTGTTCGGGTTATCTTTTGTTTTAATTTTTTTGGAAAAAAAACTCACAAAAAAGTTTTAATTTTATTTCTCTTTTCTTAATTCTCATCTTTGTTTTGTGGTGATGGAATAAGTTAGATAATGACCATATTTGGTCTCTTTCTGAGATGTTAAGTATACTTTCCTGTGGGAAGTTTGCTACAGGGTATTCCTGTATCTAAAAATGTTGAACCTTACAATATTTTTTTCTTGCCAAATGTTGAAAGTGTGGGGCTTGATCTTGGCTATACAAACATAGGCAACAGACTTCTATCAGAGACTAAAAAAAATTATTTTCTATAAGCTAATTTCTATAAAACCAAAATATGATGTGCATGGTGTGTTTTTTTTTTTTTTTTTTTTTCTATTTGAATCTGACCATACCATTTAAAGAATTCTGATGCAGTCTTAGATTAATATTAGCAAAAATAATCCTTAAAAATATGGGTTCCTGTATTTTTGAAATTATCAAGGAATCAAACAAAAATTTTAAATTTGGATCACTTGAAATCTATAAGCATACTTATTTTTAATATAATAGTGGGCTACTGAAAAGTTCTCAGTCAGGCCAAGAACCCCTCTCAAAGGTAAATCGTGGTGTTTGGTCAGATTTTGGGAAGTAAGGTGGCTGAGAAATTTTCAGCACTCTTTTGTATATTCATCACTTGCTCTTTTTATTTTGGTTGAAGTGTTTCTAATGCTAGTGTTTAAACCTTGAAAAGTTAGGATGTTGTAAAAATAATAAAAAAAAATCTTCCCCAGGAATCCAAAATTCAACAAAGGTAAATTTGTGAAAACAATTCTAAAATATTGATTGGTATTTCAGATATATCAGTGAATACTAAAATGAAGTTGTTGGTTGACTAAATCCTACCACTGCAAACAAAGTTTTGAAAATGTGCCTATCACAAGCAAATAAGATTAATTAACATAGGTGAATGCTAATGCATCACACTACTCAAAAATTCAAGTCATATCAGCAACTACTCTACATGTATTTGTTTATCTTTAGTGTACTTGATGTGTGTGTTTTTATATATATATATATATATATACACACACACACACACTCTTTAATATAGGTCACAGTTTATTTTTAGTATTTTTGAGTGTCTAATTTGTATCTTGTTGATTCTATAGTTGGATGGATGCATTTTTCAGTCTAACTAAACAATGACATAATATGATGTTTTCAGAGTATAAATAATTTTTAGAAAAACATGTCTATTGTTTGTTAGACACTAGAATTAAGATGAGACTACCCAAAACTAGCTTCTCAAAAAATTTGTCAATGTTAATTGATAATGTATTTCATTATACAAGGTGCTATTCAAAAGTTAGGTGTGAAATGGCTCCCTCAAAGACCAAAAGTGAGGGGGGAAAAAATGATACAAAATGTTCTTTATTTCCTTGTGGGGATGATTTCCAGAAATGTGTGAAATATCAGGTGAGGCACAGGGAAACTATTGGGTATTTTAACAAATGATAACTTTGATCAATCGGTTCAAATTCTCCAGACTTTTCAGTAATGTCTTGTATTATGGCATATATTTTTAATTGTAGCTCTATCTAATTTAAAGGTATGCCAAAGTTGAACAGATGTAATGAAGGACTTGGAATAAATCATAGGTAATGGCCTCAGATAGAATCTGAAGGCATATCTTCCTAAACAAAGCTATTTTAATCACTACCTCAAAACTAATAAGTTTAGTTTCCAAAGTTAAGAAAAACTGACTTGACATCAAAATACTTAACCTATATAATACTAATGGTATTTAATTGCAAATATATTCTGTATAACCTTAATTGCACAAGCAGTTTAAATCTAAGTATACTAAGCTCAAAACATTGTATAAAACTTTGGATTGGTACAAGGGTAAAGCTGTGGTTTTCTGTTTGTGGCTAATCGCATTAAAATTTGATAAGAATGTACAGTCTGGAGTACTTAGATTCTGCTTCAGAGCTATTTCATTTTTATAGATCGTCAGTTTTTCTCTTGATGATATTGGTTAAGAAAAAACAACTTTAGTTTGAACCATATTTAGAGTGCTCTGGACAAAGCATTGAATTTAAACAGTTTTTTTAATAGCTTCATTGAAATCAAATCTTGATTAGCTGGGCTGGAGATAAACACAGGTATTGATTCATAAACAAACATAAAAACAAAAGGGATAGATTACTAAAAATGTTTGTATATTGTCTTATGATCAAATATCAAAATGTTTTATACAGTTTTCTCTGTATATCTTGCTCAGTTGATTTGCCTAACTTAAACACATGATTCATAAGTTTTCAAAAAATTCTGGTCTATTTTATTCAGTGTTTAATTTTGGCTCAATCTACCTCCTCCTTTTCAAACTGGATATATTTTCCTTCTGTTTATAGTCCTTTTTAATCTGCATCTTAACTACAATAATGCTTGTGTGCTGCTGCATTGGTGCTAGCTTAGAAGAAAAGGCTTCATTTTTTTTTTTTTTTTTTTTTTTTTTTTTTTCCTGATCTCATTTTCTGAAAATTTCATTTCCTTTTCTAGCTTTTCATAGAAAGTAAATATTCAGTGCCCACACACAATTTTACAATGAACTCAAAATATGGAAAATTAATTTTGCATTATTAAATCATGTTGGAATGAAGTGTTTGGTGCTGAAACTTTGATCATATGTCTTTCTGTCTGAAAGACAAAACAAAAAACTGTCTTTTCTGTGTAATTTCAATTTTCAGTTCTGCAGTTTTCAAAAGAAAATAAATGATTATTTATTTATTTATTTAAAGTTTTAAGAAATGTAAGAATATGAGATCAGGCTAAAAAAAGAAAAAAAGTGCCATAAAATATATATCCGGAAAAACCTTCACAAGGTTCAAAGTAATGTAAAAATATTTATTCTCTATCTTAAAACTACTGAAAGAGCTTGACTAGAAGCATTTTTTCTTTTTAATCCTTTCCTTCTAAAAACAATCTCAATTGTACTTATATACTTCAGAGTTCCAAGTAAATCAATAAAAATTATTGAATTTAATAAACATAAAGCTTAATTTGAGATTGCAATTTTTGCAAAAGGACTATTTTGTTTAATTTGTACCATATCATTAAGAATGTTAATATATCACAGTTCTCAGTTAATTGACATCCTAATTTTTATTTGAAACTATATAAAAATAGTAGTCATAACTATAAAAAAAATTAATTTTTAAACGTTTGATTTCCCAGAATTTCATGTCTTAAATATTTTCTATATTTTGATGAAAACAACACAAAACCTCCACTTCATTTTCTTTTTAATGCTTTAAAAAAAAAAATTACAAAACAAAACATTTTAGAAAATTTCTTATTTTTGAAATAAAGTTTAAGACCCTCTGAAACAACTTGGTGTATTAAGAAAAATAAACTTTGAATGGTCAAAATTATGCAAGCAACATATACTGCTATCATACATTTTCATGTTTCTGTGCACACACACACGTGTATGTGTGTGTATATATATATATATATATATATATATATATATATATGCCTCGTCTCTTTTTCTGACTGCTTCATAAAAATTCAATTTATGCATATTAAAATCTCTGGTTTCGTTTGGAATTGTGGAAATAGGGTAAAAAAAAATGTAAAAAATAAAACCCAAAATTTCTTTCCTTTTGTAGATACATTACTTCACAGAATTATTAGTGCTGTAACTTAAGTTCTAACCTTGTTGGTTTCAGTTTTGATTCTTATATTAGCTATTTGGGAATTGTCTTTATACTACCTATGTTTTGCTTGCAAATGTTGACATGCAAAAATCTTGTGTTTTTGACCAAGCTGTACCAATGATTTAAAATGTTCAAATATACCATACTAAATAATTTTCAGATTAGTTTAAAGATAAAATAGATATCAGGAAGTTAAGAATTCACTTCACTATGGAAATTTTTGTACTCATGGCATTTGTGAATTTTTCATAAATTATTTTGTGAAACATTTAGTTCTTTAAGTTTCTAGAACAGTCTTTTAAATTACTCAACTTTTTCTTTCCTTCATTACATTTTAGTAATTCTTAAAAGATCAAAATAAAAATTAGATTTATCAAAATGTCAAAATCCTTTTTTTTCTTTTTCTCCTCTTTATCAAGAAACTTCTGAAAGATTCCCATAGTTACCAGTCTTATTTTTTCATTGGTCTCTGGGTTGCCCCTCCCCACTTTTATTAATCTAACCAAAGATACACAAAAGAATAAATGTTTTTACTGAAATATGAAAGTTTTTTCATAAAGGAACTTTTTCAAAGCATCATTAACATTTTGGGTTCATTTGTTTTTTGTTTTTTGTTTTTGTTTTTTTTTTTTTTTTTTTTTTTTTTTTTTTTTTTTTTTTTGTTTTTGTTTTTTTTTTTTTTTTTTTTTTGTAATAACCTTTTTTTTTTTTTTTTTTTTTGCTATTGTATAAAACAGACAATTATTTCATTTACAAATGTATCTGTTATTGTGGTTAAAATGAATGAGAAAAATGATTCATGTTTGAGAGAATGAATGATCCAGCCACATTACATCTTACTTTACTTTTTGTTGTTTTTATTTTGTTCAAGTTATCACATTATTTTGGCATATTTTTTTTATTAACAACAGCAGTCATTATATTCAATGATAAACTTCCCTTTCCCACCAAATTAAAAA